ATCTTGTCTTAGAAGAGGCATTCTGTCTTGCGAAGCAGCAAAGGAAGAAGGTTTCTAAGATAAAATGGTGACTAAGACTTAATCAAAGCTGTAATTGGTGGGCACCATCTTGTCTTAGAAGAGGCATTCTGTCTTGCGAAGCAGCAAAGGAAGAAGGTTTCTAAGATAAAATGGTGACTAAGACTTAATCAAAGCTGTAATTGGTGGGCACCATCTTGTCTTAGAAGAGGCATTCTGTCTTGCGAAGCAGCAAAGGAAGAAGGTTTCTAAGATAAAATGGTGACTAAGACTTAATCAAAGCTGTAATTGGTGGGCACCGTCTTGTCTTAGAAGAGGCATTCTCTCTTGCGAAGCAGCAAGGGAAGAAGGCTTCTAAGATAAAATGGTGACTAAGTCTTAATCAAAACTGTAATTGGTAGACACTATCTTATCTTAGAAGAGGCATTCCAAGACATTTTATCTTAGATGCCTTCTTCCTTTGCTGCTTTGCAAGAGAGAATGCTTCTTCCTGGTTCTTCTTTCACAGAATGGAATGCCTCTTCTAAGGCAGCAGATACTGAATGGAAACTTCTTTTTCCAGTCCACCTCATTAAGCAGGATGTATTTAAATCAGTCCAAAGAATCTAATCAACTAACCTGTTATTTGGTAAAGAGGCCACAGCTTCTTTGTGTAATTTTTCTTTTCTTTTCTTGCCAGTGGAAGCCCATTTCAAGCATAAACCATAGTGATGGTCTGAATCAAGATCGGTTTACAACACACAAGGACATTGGTTTCGATTTTTTTTGCAAGGCTAGCAATGACCAACCCCCCCCCCCGAAAATTATATAATTAGTGCTTCATTTTAGACTACAAGTTGGGAGGTGCAATTAAACGCTTGAGCTGCAGATGACCGTGCTGCCCGTCCAAAGAAGACTGAAGTCACAGGCAACAGCGGCCTTGCATTTTCCTGGGAATGTTGTCCTTGAATACATATGGGGTGGATAACTTCCATACACTAGTTGAGGAATTATCTCTGAAGATTTGGAAGAATCCTGACGCAGCGTCCTTCTTTTCCTGTCCTTTCCTCTGTTTGGCTCTTGGCTGACCGATTGTGGTGACATCCTTGTGTAGAACATGTTCCTAATGGGTTTCCATTCTCTTCAGCAGCCAAGGGGGCATGTTCAGAAGATGTAGCAGAACCTAGAAAATGTCTATGGAAGGTATCATTCATGATGCTCAAACTCTGGTCTGGGACCAGACAGGAGTGGGAGGAATGGGAGGAGGGAGGAATGAAGCCAGAAAGAGGTGGTACATGATGTTGAAATTTGGACAGTGGACCTCCATTGCCTTGCTGTCAGATGCCATGGTGGCATCACTTAATACATCTGTTCTACTGGCCCAGCCTTGTTCAACTTAGTGCTCTCCAAGAGCGTTGCCAATTACAAAATCAGGGAACAATGACCCCAACGCATCATGAAAATGTCAGACGGGGAGAGGCTGGATTAGCCATTTCTTTGGGTTGTTTTGCTATTTGTCACTTTGTGATGCTTGAAGAATGGACCCTTAGCATGACATTTGGGTGGGGAAGGGCAACTAAGAAGGGAAAGGAAAAATACCAGCTCTCATTTGGGGATAAGATAGGTCTGCATGACTCAGCAAGGAGCTGAAAGGCTTGATTCCCCCAACTCTATGCAGGAGCATCCATGTTAGTGTCAAAAAAGTCACGATGGTGGCTGTGACTGAAGCCCTGCCTTTTTACGTAAAAGAAAGAAAGAAAAAAGGAGTAGGGCTTTGATGGCAGCAACCATTTTGACTCTTCCCTCTGCCTTCTCTGGATGCAGGGTGCTAGTTCCTCGACCTGTATTGCAGCTCCTTCAAGGTGCCCTTAAAAACAAACCGACAAGCATCACGAGCATTATCCTCCCTCGGAAGAATTCACGATACTGTCACCCAACCGCCATTTCTAAGCTGGGCTGGATTATGAACCCGGGGAGGCTTTTGCAATTGTCCCTTCAGGGTAGCCCAAGAGTGGAATTATGCAGAGCAGTGATTGACTGCACATAGAGCACTAAGCCATGGTTTGCTTCATCCTGGTTTAATGACTCAGCCATCTCTGGTTGAGTTTGCATAATGTGCCAAGCCTACAACAACCCAACCCAATGCACTGTGAATTAAGTTGGATGAATGAGCGGACCCTTTCTGACCAAGAGATGTGATTTCCGAGGTTCTTCCTGCATAATTTACAGCTTTAATGACGGTGACAGCTACAACGTGGAAAATGTTGGTCTTAGATCAACACATCGTTCTGAGAAAAAAGAAGTGGGGAGCTGACTCATGGACTCGACCACAGACAGAGGAATTCACTTCAGATGATCTCTTTGGAAAGGATTAACTTCTTTAGAACGCATTAACCTTTCTGAAAAAAATGGAAGTGCATTGGGGACCCACTTTGGAGGGAGGAGCAGCAGCTCCTGCTTATGCTACATGAGATGCTGGCTTGCTGAAGTTGGTTGCATCATCAGCTGTGCAGGAAGCCCTGAGATGTCTCAGAAGACTGCAGATTTGGGGGTGGGAAAAGGAAGGGATCCAAGGAGCCCTTTGGATCAGAGGGGGTAGGAAGAACCAAGGAGCACCACAGATGACTCAAGAAAGTGAGCTAAGTTGCATATCAGATGTATTCTGTGATGGCTGATTGGTGTTTAATTCTGCACCAGGCCACCTTAAAAGGGCAGCAAAGTGCTCACAATCTCTTTGTTGGAAGATGTGATCCAGTTTCCTTGCAAATCCTCAAAGCGTTGTCGTTTTCCTGCCTTCAGCTGGCGCAAATGCTGCTTTTAGATGCATTCAACGTACTGTTGACCCGTGCAGAATCCCCTGCTGCAAAGCATGGTGGAAAACTCAGATGGCAGGACGTTCCCTTGTGTTGCTTTGGTTATGCACAATTGCTTGATGTGCTTTTTGTTTTTTTAAATGTTGCCAAGGATGGATTTTGCTTCAGAAAAGACTGCAACAAGATCTGCATGGTTTTTATGAAGGTAGTCTGACATAGAAGGCATTCTTTGTTACTTGTAAGTGGATTTTGTTGTTGTTCTCCATAAAAATTCTGACTCCAAATGGGAAACCCAGGTGATAGGTGTAGTGTACAGGTTGGCAGATAATACGGGACAAGGGACTTCTTGAGCATCCAGAGACTGAGATACTAAGTTTGCTGAAAATGTTAGTATTAAGCACACTTAGGTTTTGTGCTAAACTGGGATCAAGCATCACCTTGCTAAGAGAGAAGAGCAAGGAGAAATTTAATTTGCTGTCTTTGAAGTACCTTACTCTTCGGACCGGAACAACTCTTGGATCAGTTTGCCCTTGGGTTTACGTTCTACGAGATGTGACACAAGGAACGGGTGAGGAGGGAAGAGGAAAGAAAAAAAGGCAAGTTCAAGCATGGGACAGTTCTCCTCATGATCATTTGGGATGACAATAATTCAAGAAATGTGATGGAATGGCTGCTAGGTGGGAAGAGCCCACAGCACTTGGTCTTCCTGCAAAAATGAAGAAGATGGAGTTATTCTTGGCTTTGCAACTGGGGAGGCTTGAGAGGAAGAGGTCTCTCCAGACAGGAGATGGATTTACAATCTTGTCCCATGGGGTTGGCAACAGGTTGGGAACAGCTGCTCTGCAGCTGGCTTGGAGTGCCCAAGATGGGACCTGTGATCAGCTGAAGGGCTAACCTTAGGCCTGGCTTAGTCACATTAGGCAAAACCATGACTGCTTTGGGCAAGGGGTGGCGAAGAGGTGTTAGGGCAGAGTTGGGTAGACTGTCCTCCGAGTCAGCCTGCTGCTTTCCATCCACAGAGGAGGAAGTCTAGCAGCGATCGTCGACAACATATCTTGGCTTCTGAACATCTGTCTCTTGTTTTAGCCATGGAACGGGCAAGGGAGCTCTTCTGTCCATTGCTCAACATGTTTCGGGTCATGCCAGATGTTCTTGTTTCTTTGTATTAGAGCAGTGTTTCTCAACCTCGGCAACTTTAAGATGGGTGGACTTCAACTCCCAGAATT